TTTTTTGCTCGCTGTAGTGGAGAGGCCAGAAGCTAGACAATCAAGCAAATGGCACAGGTCTTTTGGTGAATATTCGATTTCAAACGATGTTTCGGCGGCTCAACTCTAACCACTCTGCCGACCGCCTGCTGTCTTTGTATCCTAGTGAAAGATGAAGCCAAATTGAAATATGGAATGCCATAGTCTTCCCAACGGTCCGTATCTTTGCCTTACTGGCTTGCTTCAAATAATTTAACTATTTCGGGATGGTGTTGCTGGAAATGCTTATTGGTAATTTACATTCACCTTCAGACAAATGCATCCACTTACACTGCAATTGCCTTTGCATCACAAATGTCTCACGTTCGACTCATTTCCATGTTTTGCGACGTTCACCAGAACTGAAATTAAGTTCATCCGTCGGCTGCACTTTGGCTCAGCACTTCAACGACGTTTGCAGCTGTTAGCGGAAATTGCGTTCGATTCACCGGCGCATGATTTAGAAAACGTTGACAGTGAGAAGGCAATCCGAAGCACCGGCCAATACAAGGGGCAATCAAAACGGGCATTTGGAATAGTGGTCGTTAAGCAGGAATGTTAAAAGCGATTTCACTTGTCATCCACTTTACTCGATCAATTATCATTTTCCTACCCACCCGTATGTTTCCAACGGATTCTAAAGTTATGATGTATAATCAAATGCCTACACAATTGAAGTGAACTTACTCTACTATCATTTGTTGGGTGTCTTGAGCTTCTCAACGACCTCTCGACTAATATTTTTTCCGCTTCCGTGAATTATTTTCGTCCTTTTTTCGACTTTTGCTATCGTAACTGCAGTTGGTTGGATATCTGGAGCGCTCTAGCACAGTCGTTTTCAGCCAATTTTCATGAAAAGCACTTCTAAGCAGGCTTTGTCATGAATTTCCCTATCGAGCGAATTCAAGGGCGATAACGACAGAAACCTTGGCTATAACATTTATTGAACATCTGAAACAGATAAAAATGGATATATCAAACTTGGAGGGGATTGATAGTTTTGTCGTATTGCCGATTCACCGCATTGACGGCTGCTGATTAGGAAACAGGGTAGGCCTAACAATTGTCTGAGTGACGCAAATTTGCCTCTCTCTGACAGGTAGACTTTCTTGGAGGCTGACATAAGAATTGCCACCTTGGAGGTCAACTGTACCAAAACTTTGTTTAAAATAACAAAAAAGGAACGCAAAATCATTAGCGCAGAACACTGTTCACTCTCCTAGACCCTTCACCTACGCGTAATAAAGCAGACTTGACACCTGAACCCTTACTTTCTAAAAGTGCACAACACTGAGGTCGCTCACCACGCACGCACGAAAAATGGTGGTTTTAAGAGGTGAAAAGTTCGTCAAAGGTCGTTTGCGTAGTGTCCTTAACTCGAAACTTTATTTCAGAAGTAGATACACCTCTTCTCTCTTATTTTGAATTTTTAAACCTCTTAAATTGCAAAAGAATTGGGTACTGCGGCAAACTGATTTAGGATTTGCCGTGAAAAGCTGTGTAGTTAAGGCTTTGTCTTCCCCACTACCTCAGATCATCCATCGGTTGGTGAGGTTCTTAAAGCGCACAACATTTCTTGAGCAGTGCCGTTTAGGCAATTAAGTCGCCTCCTTTGATATCTTTGAAATTGTGGGAAGGAAGTGGAGGGGAGAGACGAATTAGATTTAAAAGTTCTTTTGCTGCAAAAAGAAGAGCTTGGTGAGGCTATTGGCATTGCTAGGAAACAAATCTCTCGTGTCTTAGGGATTTTTTGTCAAGCCAGAAATGCAGATTAGACATCCTGGGAGGTAATTTAGCGCCGTCTCGTCATCTAATTTAGTCACTATCCGAACGTTTTGCTATGTATGTGACAAAGATCGCTTTCGCTGAAAGATAATCGGGGCCCGCTTATATCTACCTTGTTTGTAAAAGTTCACCGGTATCTTTTACCCTTGCGACCGCTTAGTATTTGCTGAACCGAAATCCGCATATTGCTACGTCTTTTAATGCTTATTAGAATGCCATCTTCCATTTTTTGCTCACGAAGAATCTTGGCTAAATATAAAAGTACAAGATTCAAATTTCATGTGGCTGTTTGAGGGCTTTGTTGGGAATCAACTTATTTTACAGTTTATACAACCGATAAGCTAGAAGTACGAAGGAGGCGGCGGTGTTGGATTAGCGGTACCTCCCCAACGTCTCATTCGGGCATGTTTTCTAAGAGCTCTACTGTTGAACTGCTTAAGGTTAACGGTGTGTTGTTTTGTGTACGGAAATTGACACTGGGTGTTATCAGCATTTTTAATGTCTTTCGGTTAGTTACGACCAGAAGAACTAAAACATGCATCCTACTACTAAATATTTGAGTGTTTGAAGTACCACCTTCGCATTTCTATTCACCAAATGGTTTACTTGGGTTTGATTTTTACATGCCATGGTTTGAGTTCTCTTTTTTCTGCTTTTAATGATTGCCTGTCCATAGATGCGAATTAGACATATTTTATACCAATGCGTCACATTCCTCGCTAAGTTCATTATTTAACTGATTTGTTTTTTCATTCAATCACTCTACTGCTTCATCGACTAATGTATGCGTTGGTTGACAATCGACAAAAGTCTCAACTACATTGAGCCGTCAACGCCATCTTTTTGACATTCCTTTGCAACTGGTTGGTACTAGTTGAATTATAGCTAGCCTTTTTCTGGCGAAGAGCAAGTACTTACGCTTCCCTTACTATGGTGTCTTTTGTTAAAAGCTGCTCTAGCAGCTCTGTTTACGAAGCAGTCGTTCAGTCTATTTTTACGGTTCCTGTGTGCTCTGGCCAGGAGCCACTCGAGTCCATCCTCGCCGTTAATAATTCCTCTTTTTGTGAACCCGTTTACGTTTTCTTGAGTCAGATACTGGCTACCTCTCTTATTATTTGAAAAGTTGTGCATTTCTGACCACCTACCTGAATTTGGTTCCTATGAGTTGATCGACTATGACTCATCGACGTATGCATCTTATTTCTTGATTTCATGAAGTCTTTTCTGGTTAAACGTTGGGTAAAGTCTACACAAGATCTTCATATTGTTTAATGGTCAGCTTGAATTAAGTGGGGGTGGCCAAGAATATTTGAATTTGGTGATCAATGAGGGCAATGTGTGGTTTTCAATCGCGATAGGAGGCATCCCTTTAAACAGTAAACCCATTGTTATCCCACAATATGGTAGAAAGTCGGAATGAGCAAGGTAAGACATCAGAAATAGCTTTTATCCACAAAACATTGAAATTTGCTAGTGTTAATATTGGGAAAGAAAGTATACGAGTTTCAACATAGTTGTTCAGCAACTGGACGTTACACTGCAGTTGGATTTTGGTATGATCACAATGTAACTCTGTGTCATGCTAAGCATGGCAAATCCGTTTCGTGTGGATGCTATTTGCCCACTGAGCGTGTATTTTTTGCTTCGTTGCCCCCACAAAAAATTAGTGCTTTTCATTTTCTTTCCTTTTTCAATGTTTTTGACTTTTATGAAAATGGCGAACTCAGATCATGGGAACCATATCAATAGTCTGCCCAGGGTGTACCAAAATGATGATGTAAATTTTTATTAGTGTCTAATAATAGACAGCCTGTTTTTGCTTGCAAATAAGTGATTGCTTCATGATAGCGTTTTCAGGGTTACAAAGCCTTTTCAAATAGTTTGTTATATAGCAAATGATCATCTATGTCTACATCCAAATGACTAAATTGCAGTTTTGTTGTGACATTTTTGCAAAGAAAATTAACAATAAAGTTCAAAGTGAGTAGACATCGTCTTCATGGTAAGTGCAAATCTGACACTGAGATCAGAAAAGCTGTCAACAGAATCTGAGACCGTTACATTACTGCATGACGAGGGGAAAAGGTGTTATCTTTTAAGAAAAAAAGTGTGCTTTCAATGCTATGGAAATCTAATTTTGTCGGATGGACTTGGAATTGAAGAATGAACGATGGATTAACTCATAGATCTAGAATAATTTTAGCCGGGATTGGCAGACCTGGGAGTGATGGATGGATATTTGCACAAACCCATGCTTGGACGGATGAATACACGATTTATTCGGGGTTGATGGCCGAACGGAGTAACCAATAGATGGGCGGATGAATAGATAAATCGGAAACGGATGAGCGAATGCATGAAGTTAAGATGGGTGGATCATTACCATACGATGGATCTAGGATAGGTCATTATGTGGATGGCGGATGAATGGATTAACGTAGGGTGCGTGTAGATGGTTCACGTTGAGGGTGGGTGGCGCTGAATTGGATGGACAGGTTCGGAATTGATGGATCGATTCACGAATCCATAATCTCAATAAATGGGTTGAGGTTGGATACATATTATTATTTTTGGAAATGTTAGCAATGAGCAATTCCCTCTAGGTCTACATTGAAACAATCGGATCACAGTTTTGTCATCCCACCTTGCTTTAAAAAAGTTAGTAGCAGAATTTGTAATGCATGCCTAATTCTTGATAAACGATGGGTTTCAAACCACACAACTCACGCGGTTCTTTTATGCGTTTTCGGAAATGTATCACGAATTACGCTTATGGTAGCACATTCACCTGATTTAATAGTTCACTAGTCTTCAAAGTCCGACTACACCGAGGCATATCACTGCAAGAAAGGCTTTCATGAGGATGTGAAACATCCTTTTTTGCTTAACAATTTCTAAGAAATGTTGGCTAATTGAACAGAAATCATCAGGATCGTCCACCCAGCAGTAGTAGCAAAAGATATTTTGCAAATAATGATTCCTGTACTAAAAAGAAGAGAATGATAATGTGTAACTGGCTATGGTTCCTATGGGCGTCGACTGGGGAATGCCTACAAAATTGAGGAGCGGTATTATATGCCCTTCGTTGCACTTATCGGGTAATTATCACTTTCGCTCCCAAAAGCATTGCGGGATTCATGTGGTCTTGGGTAAGCTGCTGGAAAAGTCATCAAATAGCCTCTTCAAAATCCATTAGCATGGTAATTGTAAATGAGGCTCAGAAGGCAACCACCATAGCCACTCGTACTTTAATGGTCAAATATGACGCTATTTTTCAGTTTTGTGGGAAGTACTTACTCATTTTATTTTTGCCTTTTATTCATCTTCGATTTCTTATTTTACAAATTGGTTTGATTCTAGTTTTTTTCGTTTTTACTGCCGGAGGAAAGTCGGCGATTTTACCGTTATTTGCTCTTGCTCTTAATTCACTTCAAAGTTGTGTTGCCTTGAGCATAGGTTCCAGTTTAACCTTTCTTAACCTATATTTGAGGTATCCTCTTGCTATTCTAAAACCTTTTAATTTTCCCAACTTTATCAATTTGTTCTGTTAAATTTTAGTGGGCGTAATTGCCTTCTTTTTATTTTGTAAGAAAAACTCACCTTTTTGCTCTTTTGGAGGGGCTTTAACAGATTCCTCCATTCTTTCTGACTTATCTTCCATTCATAATTCTGTGTATGTTAGGAATTTTAGTGAATTCCTTCTTCAATTTGATGCTGTCACAATGGAAAGATGCTGACCCACGCGGCGCTACTCTGTTTAGACCAAGAAATAGGCATTTGCCTATTGGATTGAGCTTTTTTCAGTCTTTTTTCGCCCTCGGGGAGATTGAAGCGAATTCAACAAAACGAGTTTTCTTTTCATAGCCTATTCTGTAAAATAGGGATTCATAATCCACCATTTATGAGTTGGGCGGAGAAACGGCTAATTTATTGGCAGTGCTAAATGTTGAGCCTGTATATAATTTCATTATTAAACGCTTACATACAGGTGGCGTTCTTTCATGGTTTATAATGTCTAGTTGAAATGAATTACACGCCTCAAAGAGATTGTTTGAGTCTAAAACACAAACTAGGTGCGTGAGATGTACTTGGTCCGGTAATAGATGCATTTTCAGCTCTTGAGCAGTGTAACTTAAAGTGATACATACATCTAGTGGGTCGTGGGGACCGATTTTGCCTTTGAGGTCCCAGTGGTAGCGCACGTGTTAAACGGCGCAGTTAGTCGCTTTTCTCTGCCACGTGAAATTTAATTCCCCAGTCAGTTATTTACACGGTTTACCAGTTCAATTTGTTTTGGAGAATCATCACTTTTAGTTATCTGCTACTGGAAAACATTTGCCTGCGTTATTAATTACTTGCAGTTCTTAGGCTAATAATATTCCAGGCACTTGTTACTAATAAGACTCATAGATTTGAAGCTTTCGGTGAATAACATCATTGAATTATGTAGGCTCTAAATGGGTATGTTTGTGACACTGAAGTGGGTTTTAAGGTATTTTGTAACCTTTCTTTTTTGAAAAACGATTATCAATGCTAGTTCAGTTATAAACAATGACTCCTCACACTTTTAACTATGTTTTCGAATTTTGACCCCTGATGCCTGTAGGCCAATGCCTCGCATATGGATGTCCCGCAATTTTTAACTTTCCAGTTATGTACTTAATGGAAACCCACTGGTTTATCGTCGTTCCCAATGTGCCTTTCCGAAACCCATATGAAGCTAGTACGATCAAAAAACGTATTATTTTCTGTATCTTGTACCCTTAATATGCTGATCCTCAAAGTACGTCATCCTCCCTTTTCTGATTACTCTGACCGAAACATATTTAGGATGGCTCAGTTGAAATCTTTTCATGTTATTGCCAATTTGATTTGCACTTTTATATGCCTTTGTTTTGATAAAATTATTCCTTTATTCTACTGTTCCTATGCATAACGACTCGAAGACAAAAGTGTCTAGGCAGTCTTTGACGATAGTGGTTACGCAATCACCTGAATCTTGGCTATATTGAAATAGCAGTAACTAAACAGGAAGGTGAACGATTAGTAAGCTCATCCTAATGTGTATTACCTTTTCATTCCTTCATTATGCTATCATTAGCAAAACCTGTCAAGAATGGCTCCTTCGAGCTGTTAGCATAAAATAACAACTGTTTCCAATGCCAACGCCTACTTTAGCATAGCTGAATACATAGACCCTTCGGTACCAATACCTCCTTTCTCCTTTGTTTCGATTCCTCCTCTAGCTATTGTTGCGTTTTATTCAAAACATTCTGACGGGGAAAATTGACGTAAATACTAGTGAAATATCCCAGCAAGGTTTGACATCTCATTTTCAGATCCACGGAGACAATCAACTGGTTTTTGTGTTCCTACAGCCCCAAGTGTGCGTCAGCTCGTCACCACCACACCAGGCCCCTCCAGGGCTAGCAGTGGCATGAGCGGCCTCTCCTATCGAGGCCTTTGCGTTGACAACCACGCAGTGGTCGCGGCAGAATGCACACCCACATCTTCATCATCAACTACCACGCAAAGCGCGGCCACACCACATCAGCAGCAAAATCAAGAACAGCAGCAGCAGCAGCAGCAGTCGGCGTTACAGGTCGTAGTGCCGGCGATGTCAGTGGCGGACGAAGGCTTTTCAACACCGAGGCAGTGTCGCCCACAGTCGCAGCATCTCAAGCTGAGAGACGTGCCTGTCGTGTCGTATTCGTCTTCGGAGGAGGAAGACGATATATACTATGATACACGGGAGAATATCGCCTCTGTATCGCCTAGTATTTCCAATGCCTCGGAGATATGTGAGAACGGCTTCGATGCGAAGTGAGTAGCTTCCCTTGAATGCTTGAGCCATGCTATCCCATCCCGATTAAACCTAGTTTTTACTACCATCTTGAAGTCTGTAAAAGATTATACCAGAAAGGGTCTTTTTCATGGCTTATTTGAAGTATTTGTTGGTCAAATAGTTGACAAAGTGCTTCCTATTGACCGGTCTCGTTTGCTTATTCGCAACATGTTTCTCCTCTTCTATTATTTCTTCAATAGTTACTGTCGTGGTTCAGAATTCTCTTGCCATAGATGGACAGTTTAAGTCGTTAGTTAGGTAATATGCGCACAAAATATCTCATCTGTAATTTGCTCAGGATTGAAACTCAGCTCCTTACAAAAGGTGTCATGATGTTGTGGTCTAGTTTCTACGGCCCAGATCTTTTAGGTATTTCATGGTGGTAGTGTTTTTTTTTTGTGTGTGTACTTTGGTGGGTCCTTTCCCCGTAATCATCCTTTGAAGTCTCTCGTCACTTCATCTGATTGATTGTGAAAGCACTCCCCTACATTAATATCACAAAATCAGCGTGGACTCTGTTAAATCTTTTAAAAGTAATTGTCAGATCAGTCAGCCGATAGGACTGCTGAACGTTGCCTTCATGAGGTGTGTCAACTTTTAAATTACTGGCTTAACTCCGTAATTCAAAAACCAAAAATATGTTCACTCTAATCGCTTTTTACGTAGCACCGAGGTCGTTTTCCCAGGAATGACTCATTTGAATTTTAATGCTCTAATTTTATCCCTGAAGACGTGGTATGGACAGAGGCTTATTCCAACTCACTGAAGGACTGGTAGGTCGTGGGCCTGGAGGGAACGTCACCCCACCACAATATTAAGGATGCCGCAAGCATTAAGTATCAGTGAATTTCACGTTATTGACCAATCTCTTTGGTGTTTCTAGGCGCACTGTTTCTCTTTACTTTACTTTTTTCTGTTTTAATGCAAGGCTGCGCCTGAATCGTCCAATCAATGCTGTTTTTTGAAGTCTGCTTAATATTAGTAGCCTCTTTTACATAATTCCAGGTTCCAAAGAGCACCATTTCGCGTGCCTGAATTTGAGTGTCTATCGGCGGTTCTAAACTGGAAGCAGCTATGGCCACTATTTTTTTGCTTCAAAGATCACCTTTTTAAAAAGTGCGCCGCTTTGCTAACTTCACTTTTTTGTGTTGGTTTGCTAAAATTTGATTAACTTATTAACATCAGCAGTGCTTTCTAAGTCCTCTTCTTTTAGTGGAGTATTGCGGGATGAGAAATGATAAGATCATCTATTACTAGGAGGTAAGTCTGCCCTTTCAGGTAACCTCTTAGTTGAGATTCCTTTCCTAATTCGTGGTATAGGCTTTACCTTTTCTTTTTTTAATTTTCCGACACCATTACTGACAGCATCATTGACCTGCCACTTTGTTTCGCTGCGGAGTAGCTGAAAACCACGCTATTGGTTCTCCCCCTTTCCTGGTGGTAGATACCGATGCACTTTTTAAATATATTCTTACCTTTACTTTGGCAAATTGTTTTGAGGCTTAATTAGTTATGGTTGTCCGAGGGTGGGCTACAGGCGAACAAATAACAAAGCTATTTAGGCACTGATGTAAATTGCATCCACATGTCTGCTTTTGCCTGGTCATTGGATGTAATTTCTTCTGCATTTCCGACCAACAGCTCTCTATTTGAGGCACCTTGAATAGTCACTTCTTCAAAGTGGAGATTATCGCACTAATGCATTAAATTACTAACTCTATTTCGGTTTTGAGGTCAATCTTGTCTGGATTGTATGGTTATGCAATTCATCCAGAACTTAGTTAACCTATTTATTCTGTCGATAAATTGTTTTGTAGTTCACTACGAAACGGAGCTCTCTTGTAGAAAGATCAATTGACTCAGGTACATCAAGGATATTGCCATCTTGAAAAAGTGGTAAATGTTCTATCGCTCCAGTAAATGGCAAATTTTTATGCCAATTTTTCCCATTATCATTTTGGGAAATGTATACTTGGCATAAAAATTTGAGGAATTGATGAAATTTTTTCTTGTACTCTCAAAAGTTCTCTAATTAGCATCAATTAAGAAATTATGCAAACAGCTTCAACACGGGAAGTGATTTTAAGCCTACGTTTGATTAATTTACCACTTTGGTTAAAGCGTAATGTTAAATAATCGAAAATTCCAGTTGCTCTCATTTCTTTGTCAAGAAATTGAATGTAGATTTCATTTGCTTGGAGATCTTGCCTGTGTAATCAATCTACTTACCGTATTAAATGGCTGTCATAAATTGATTGCATCTCAAAGCTAGCGAGATCGCAAATTTTCATTTTTTTTGGCCTTTTTTATCCAATTCATAAAAATTCAGTCCACTTTCCCAGTTGGTTTTTTGGGTTATCATTTTTCGATGGCCTCAAAGCATGAAATCGCAATTTCGCTTAGTGCTACTGGCAAGTTACTGATCAGTGCTTCGTTTTCGAGCATAGCAACAGTTCAAAATGAATAATTTAAACCATTTTGGTGAGGATCCTGACTTTTTTTCACGTGCTCCAGTCATATGTAGCGTGTTGGAGCACAACAAGGCGTGGGTGAGCAAGTGTATGCTAACAAGTAGTTAGCCAATCAATGCAGACAGTGGATGGGTTTCCTTATAGAAGTTGTTCGAGCGCTTCAGCAGCACCTCAGACTTGTAGGTCGCATGTACGTCGACTATCTCACCCATCTGTCAACACTGGGAGCGCCTAGATGCATGGTGACTATGGGCATTTTCCCGTACGTGCGAAGAAAATGCTTTCCTAGCATTTTGGTTAAAATCCAATCCCCTTAGTAAGATGCACATTCCTCCTTATTTATGTGAGCAGTTAACTTGCTTTCCATTCTATTACTTGATTTTTAATACCGATCGAGTGGGTACTCCTTGACTCCAAAGGAGTGCCTGAGAGCTTGGTCAATTTACCAGTCTTCAAATTAAAATAGTAGAGTCAAATTTGATCCACATTTTCTAACTAAAAACTGTCCTGTGAAGGTTCACTTAATCATTCCTTAGGATTGGACGATGTTCTATAGTGCATGAATTTTGCAGTTTGGTAGTTTTTCATGTAACCATTTGCTCAGAACTAGGTTTTTAATGAAACACGTGGTGCTTTATTTCACTTTCCTTCTCTGCCCTTCAACTTCGCTTAACGCTGCTCGGTCGTCTATTTGGGTTATTGCGAGATTCCTTGAAGGCATCGTCAAAAGTGGGGTAGAATAAGACGTCCCTCTTTATGAATAACTGTAACCCAGTCAATGTGTGCCGCATTGTGGCTTCAGTCATGATACAAAACTTAGCTTTTTAGTGTAATTGTAACAGCCTTTCTGGTGTGCAACTTCATAGACTCAACTATACTCATCAGATGCCTTTTATATATAACATTTTCCCCCAATAATCTGCTGCTACACTTGGATGTAAGCAATAGTGAGTGGGTTTCTATTATTTTCTCCCAATTCAGTGCTTCTGGGGAGTGGAGAGGTAGCTCAATGCTTAGGAGTGCAGCGGATCCAGGAGGAGGGTTTAGAGATGGACTCAAAAATATTCTGTAGCGCCCGGGTCATTCCTGAAAACTTAATAAGTCCCATAAGTTTAGAATAATGGTTAATGTTAGTGCACAGAAGGACTCATAGACTAGGCGCGGCTAAGATGGCGTGACACCAAGGCAGGGGCCAAACAGCGGGGCCAACGATTCTGCATGATTAAAGGCGTCGTTATGACAAGCCTTTTTTGTTGTATTTTCAGATAAAATGTCGTTCTACTACAATATTAGTCGTTCTGTTGCCTTCTGTTGGCATATTCAAAGTGTATGGCAAAGTGCCTATTAGCTTTCACCCCGTATTTCCTCTCGCGTACCCACGTTGTTAAAGTCCCTTTGTGGTATGTAAATGGTGTCACTTGTCAACTTGTACTCGAGACGCGCCTCTCCTACTTTTCACACGCACACATATGTGGGGCGTGTTCCAGCGATTACGCACACAAACAGCCGTTATATTACGTTTGTTCTCCTTTCGTCTCGTGAACTGCCCCTCGAGTTCGAATGGATTGCAGTGAAGTTTGTAATTCAGATTTTTTAAATGCCACCTTCACATTTTGACTTGACGTGTTGTGCTTGCCTGGTGAGAGGAAAGGCTTTTACAAATGGCTAGTTAGATCAGTGTTTAAAATATCGTAGTCTCAAAAGTGGGTATCTCCAAGAGCTGTGCGTGATGCCAGAAAACAGGATCGTGCCTAATTCGTACTTCTAAAATTGGTCTTCTTCCTTTCATGCACGCGATTTCCTCAGTAATGAAACGCACAATTTCAATTTAACTCGATTTGGCTTTAGTTCCACTTCAAGCAATAAATGGTGCAGCGCGTAAGCGAGCATTGATGTCACATTGTCATCCTCACAATGCAGACTTCACAGCTTTACTACTTTACAATTAAAGGAAACGCTTCATAACTTGGCATTGAGCGGAAATTAAGTTGTTTAATTCCTGGAAAGTAACCCCATTACAGTGGACAAGTTTATTAAGCTCTTTTTGTGCCTGCATTTTTGGCTAAAGTATGATTGAAACTGTCGTTTATCGAATTGGACCATATTTCGACCGTCTGAACGCCAGATGATCATTTAGCCACATTCGACACGTCACCTGCACCCGGATTGGTCGGACCTCGTGACGCTCTCATGGATAGCACCAGCCAGCTTAACTTTAACGGGTTTTTAGTGCCATTTTCGGGTTTCAGTCTCTTTCGGTAGTTCATCTTCACCTTATCATAGCTGTGTAGCTACCATAAGTTGTCATTCACTGCACTCTTTAGTGTCACTTGTATTTATTCCGTGCTTGTAAGGGTACACGGTACACGATACTTCTCTTGATGTTTACTTCTTTAATCCCCACAAAAACCATCTAGAATTTCACTATGTAAATTTACCCTTAATGCTTCGACAAAATAGTGATACTATCAAATCTAGATGCTAGTTTATGTAATATTTAAGATGTATCTGCATTCACTGAAGTTACTTTCATTAATCAAATTCATCACTAAAGTTACTCAGTTCTTTAACCTAGTTTATTTGGGGCCCAACCAATGGTGGCGAAACAATTAAAAAGTGGTAAAAGGATGATTCACCTCGAAAGCAGGTAAAGTTCAAGTGGACAATTCCATTTTAATGCTTATTTAATGCAGCGCAGTCTATCCAGATATCTGGCTTCTTCACTTGATCGGTATACCTTAAATGATCTGATATTATTGTAATAGTAAAGCTGAATAAAATTCTTCAATTAGCCCCCTCATATTTCACAATATATCTACTTCCACAACGTCTTCTCTCAGCTTACTGTTGTTCATGTCGTTTCGGGATCTCATAATGAAATTGAATCACAGAGAAGATGTGGCCTCTCAAACTTGCCATTTCTTAATGCAATCGGAACAGTAATGTTTAACTACGTAACCTTTTCACCTCTTCATAGCTTTGCAAAATTTTCTCTCAGACCGTTCAAAAGTTGAGGTACGTACCTGTGATATCGCATCTCCCGTACGATGCTGATGAATTCATCCATTGACGTCTGCTGTTTTGGGGCCGCATCTTGTGATGATGCACCGTAAAAAGTTAAAAAGGATAGATGCTTATATGAATAATTCACCTCTCGCTCGCTGCCATTCCCATGGTCATTTTTGCTGTTCATGGATTATCATCGATGCGCATGCATCGACACGGATACGAATACGCACACATATGCACAGGTCCACCCACTCACTGGACAAAAAATGATGTGTCCGCGGCTGTCCACGTTTGCAATCGCATTCGCACTTACGCGCATTTGAACGTATCGTAAAGTGTTGGGTCTCACGTTCACAAACATGCTTACTTGTGTATGCTTATGCATCCGCCCTAACTGATTAGGTGCCCATATGGGGTGAATCTGTCGACATCTTATCCCCCTCTACTGCCTGTCCTCTTGTGCACCTTTTTGGGGATTCTCTCTTACTTACATCTCAACTGATCATCCATGTCCTTCAGCCATTAGAGAGTTAAATCTTATTTAGATTCACTCCACTGCTTCTAGTGTCTCTCGAGCACTGTCCGAGCATTGGCGTGAAGTAGCTGTAGAACTTTTCGGACAACCATTTATAGATAATACAACTTATGTGCAAGGGAAGTGAGTCCCTCTAAAACGCCTTGGTCCTCCACCGAATACCTTTCTCTCCATACTAGCTTTTTAATTGCGGATGGCTGGCAAACACGATCATGCCGCCCATTCACTTCTTGCCTGGAACTCATCTGATCATTCGCGTACGCCTTCTACTGAATGCACAAGTTATTTGAGAATAGGTGCCTATTGATAGTCCTCAGCCTACAAGAATGGTATACCTAAGGATAAAATAACCATAGAATCTTTGAGCTACTCATTTTGTCTGGCAGTTGTTTGAAGCGAAGCGGAATCCGACTGAAACGCGTACGCGACTTCCTCTGTGGGTGACTCACTCCATTGAAATATGAAGCGCTCTTTTTCTGGTGTCTGGTGTCCGGCACTTTAGATTAGACAACCTTCGTGGTAGATTAGGTGAACTCTTTTTGCAGATGAAACATATGGCAAATTCAATTGAAGCTTTGATTATTTGTTTGGTTCCAAAATAGCCGCTTTTGAAGTGCTTTATTGGCATTTTTCATTTCGCATCCGGTTGACTTTTACAGTGTTTGGGTAGGAGTCATTTTTACTGGCAAAATATGCCACAATGCCCTCTTTTGTCCCGGTTACTACCGCATTCACCTTCGGTTCTTGAAATTGAGTGAGATTGTTATCTAACACTTAGAGAAGGGGAGAGGCTAATCCAGGTAGATGAATGAATGGTCCCCTTTGGAATGACAGCCGTCTGGTGTGGGACTACAGCATTTAAGATTGCTTTCTTTTCTCCCTCTCCAGTTTGCTTCTGATTAATCGATCCTTTCTACTTCTAGTGCTTTCCCTTCGCTTATTTGTGGCCTAGTTCAATGGAGGTTAGAATTGACATTCCTGGCTGCGGTATGGTATTTTTTTCGTAGTGCTTTTGCAAAGAATCCTACTGTGCATCGTTGCTTAACCAAGATAGTAAAGCCAGGTGGTATAACTTTTCCCAGCCTCCAGCACGGTTTTCATTGTACTTATTGCTACCAGCGCTGGTCCTGATATCCAGCACACTGCGCTTTAATCCATCTTGATTTGTGTGCACAAACTCATAAAATGCGGCTTTGCATTCTCCATTTTATTCACCTTAGCAGTCAGACTCGCTTTGCATCTCCTCAGATTATGCTGGTCAACTTTTAGATCGAATTACGGAGATATTTTTTGCATTATTTGTTGATGTGATTGCAAAATCTCATCCGTCTTTTGCACTATTTTAAGTATGTGTGAACTGAATCGTGTGGTTTGACTCTACCCCGTGTCTAAAGCCGTTGTGACTGACTACTCGTGGTCGGCTCATGATCGAGTCAATGTAGTTTCAAATTCAACTTGATTTTTATTTCCCAGTTTCTACGGGACAACTTTCTATTCTCTCATAAGTACCGTTATTTATTTATCACTGTTGCTCCTCTTTTCCTACAGACTGAATTGCGAGGATTGCGTGACCGATGGTGCTGGCGGTGGCCGCGGTAGCGCACGTCGCTCCGCCGACCAGGTGGACCTCGAGAAGGGTCACTTCGGCTCCTCACTCGGGTTAACAGCTGAAGATTCAATGGCACTGGGGATGTCGACGGTCAACAGTCAGCTGCCGGCGAAGTACAGTAGAATCTTTGCCTACGATTCCCTCTACGACGACGATGATGAAAAGGACTGTGAGTGCTACTATTATCTTGCCCAAGCATTTATTTCCCCACGTTTGGTCATTTTAAATTTCATTAGAATCTTTATAATGAAGCAGGTATGTTGTCTTGATTCCTGGTTTGAGCACAACTAACATGCTTGCGCAGTTGCTAGTGTCTCGGCTCTTGAGTTTTTTGCCGTTCTATTAAGGCTCAAGTGTCTGAATTTTGTCGATGGTGTGTTTTACCAGTTTCCACCTTAACTGCGGCATCTTACCTATTTAACGAATAAACTTGTATTTGCAGATAAGTAGTCCGCTTTTATCCATCGCGCAATACATTAGTAAATTTAGGTGACTTTTTCATGATCTACTCCTAGAGCTTCTATTCAGTTGAGGCTTTGAATGGTCATTCACATGTATTTTGAGCTGAAAGCGTCTCTTTTGTGATTGATTTATTCTCAAAGTTAAGATTGTTGGCTAAAACGGAATTGTTCAATGTACGATTATACTGCATGTACCTCTTTTAATTAACCGACAGACCTACTTCGAACCCAGACTTTTTCGATAGTATTTCCAACTTTTTGTAATGCTACTTCTGATTTCACAAGCATTTCTAGTGTTAACTATTTTATTGACTCATTATTGGTTCATATGGTTCTTTTCGATTGCTTAATTATGCCGATTTCGTTAATCTTAGAGCATTTAACAGAAACTAGATGAGGAATTCCCGATAACTCTTCATTTATTTGTTGGATGTTCAACCGAATAGACGCTTCCTCATGCTGTAGCGAATCCGACTTGGTTTTCTTTTGCATTTTGTCGAAGACTACAAACTGCATTGCACGTAACCTGTCTAAAATGGGGCCGAGAGTTTGTCTTAATATTTTACTTGCATATGAAAGCGGTGCAGCAGTCAGGCGATATACCCTATTGCCAGCCCACTCCTGCTGTCTAAAGGGCAACCTATTTGTGCCGATCCGTGGGATAATCTCAGAGACGATTAAATTAGCGTGAAAGACGTTTTTTTGAGCTTGCAGTAACTTTTAGTTCAGTATTTAGAAACCATAACAGTTGGCAAAGTCTAATAAGTATGCTAGACCTGTGGCAATACAAAGAGAATTTCGTAGACCGGCCCCTCTATTGGTGGAACCGGTCGTTATTTGCACCATCTTCGGTGGTTTTCGCTGTTTCATAAGCGCGCTCATGTCAGAAGCTGATGCTATCACAAAAAGGTGGTAAAGAATGGAGCATGTGCTTGAAGTAATGGTGACGGTGCACTTTTGTAATAATTACAAGTCGACAATTGCGGTTAAGTGACAGTGATTCTCAAGCTCCAATGCTTTACCCTCGAAGACCTACCTTTTTTTCATTGATTGCCATGGCTTTGACCATGGGAACTTTCATCATCTTGACACTCAAAACGGTCGTTTTTCAAATTCTTTATCCAGCCCTATAACTACCACTCAATTATGTAGTGCTTTTGTGTTATTTTGTTTTGCTAGAAGTTGCATGGTTGTTTTTTGTGTGTTAAACCCATGGCACTCATTCGGGTCCGTGTTTCCTTCGCGTCTTTTCCATATTACCTTTCGCTTTGCACATCGCTCACCTCAGATTTGGACAAGGGGAGTGTATTTGATCGATTGTCCGTCACATTATTCTCTTTTCTCGCCAGATACAGCAGCTTCTCATTATTATTTCGTCCTTTTAATCGCATCATGAGGTAGAGGTCTCATAAACAATGCATAACAGGCTCGATGTTTTCCATTCCTACCTCATCCTTTACGGCTTTGGAAGGAGCAGACGGGTTGAACGGGGACAGGTTTTATTGGATTGTGATAATTAAAGGGGTGGAAGTGTCACAGTTGTGTTCAAAGCAAACAGCAATGTATTAATGCTTGTAAACGTGTTTTACCATCTTTGTTTGCAATTTTTTAAGCTGAGTGTCATCGACCCTTTGAGAATGCAGACGAAGTACCTTCATTTTTGTCGTTGAATATGTCTTCTTAGCAAAAAGTTCGCCATATATAGTCTTTCATCATTTTAATAAAATATCATCAGTCATTCTTGAGGTATTCCTTCGTCAGACAAACAAATTTTCAGAACTTTAACTTAGGATGGGTGTTTGGGTCAAATCGGGGATTTTGAATTGATTAAAGTAAATAATATTCAAGGGGTGGGAACAACGTCTGCACCCATCCTAAAGCCCGATTAATATGCCTGCAAAGCAGCTTTGGCATAAAACGATTTATTCGTACGAGTGAAGTATCCAAGGCCGAATTGTAGAAAGTTGTTCTAATGCTCAAAATGCGTTAATTTTTCGGAATAGCATCGACTGGGAAGAATAGGTTGGGCGACAATTTTTCCATATTGACAAATGACAGCTCAATTCAGCTAGCATCGAGAATAAGCTTGGGATTTTTAAGGGATTTTTTAGTAGCTTTTGTGATTACTTTGATATCCACGCGGTCGAATTACTGAATGGACTTACTAAAGCCCGTTGAAGATTTCAGCTGCTGAAGTTCACAATCAGTGACTTACTTAGATTCACAGAAATACCATTGCTTAGAATGGTTTTTTTAAAACCCAAGCTGTTACCTTCTAAAGCCTGACCATGGTGATTTAGAGCTGTTAATGGCTAAATCACTTTGCAGATCAATTGTTCTAATTCTCAATAATCTATCGTGTAAATCGACAGTGAAATGCATAAAAATAGCATTTTCCCTAGTTTAGCAACATTGAATGAGAAAGTTGGATAGATTGCCCAACTGGGTATTTTACAATCAAATAAAATTTAATTCAAAAGGCTGGAAGTACAGAATTTTGACCTATGAATTGCGTACAATTCATAAATAACCCTTGAAACTACTGGGAGATTTATTTTGTGGGTGTAATAAATATCAATCAACGTCAAAAATGTAATGCTAGAGGGGTGAGACATTCAGAGCTGGCCTTTCTTTGGGAAATCAACACTTAAATGCTCAGCAGTTTAGGTTTTACAGAACACTTGTTTCGGTATTGCCATGAGCTTCATGTTACGAAAAGGCGACTGAATAGACTTATAAAGTTGACTTTGCTTGATAAAGTGGACAATTTATACCTCTCTATCTAATTTGGGCGATTGAATTAAATGTACAGAACGTATGTAAATGCTTTCATCCCTTGCAGTTGCTCTACCCTATGGTTTCGTCCTTTACCTCTGTCCTCATGGTTGTAGCCTCGCAGTGATCTCGAAAATGCCAATTTGTTCTGGCTTAGAGGTGCATAATTTTCAACTCAGCGTTAACTGAAGAATGCCAACGGTTTACGCCCACCTGTCGAATGCTGTTAGTTAAATCAAATTACCCTCCCTGCCCCTTCCTCTATTCTGCTTGTAGTGGGCTCTTTGCAGTCGGAGGGCTCGGTGATCTCCTACCTGATCTCCCAGCTCCGCATCGGCATGGATCTGACGCGGATCACCTTACCCACCTTCATTCTGGAGAAGCGTTCCACCCTCGAGATGTACGCCGACTTTCTTGCTCACCCCGATCTCTGGGTGGCCATTGTGGACGGCAAGACGCCGCAGGCACGATTCATTGCCTGCCTCCAGTGGTAGGTCACGTGCTCACCTTCACAGTCTCATACCAGCGAAACTGTGATTGCTAAATCAGATTCTCTGAAGCATGAGCATCGTAGTTAGTGTCGAAATGATAACTGATTCATCTTGAATATTTATAGTTATTCTTTGTCTCTTTACTCTTGCCAAATGAAAGGACCCAGGAAATTGATGTCAACCTCCCGTCACACTTTTTGTTAATATGTTGGTTTGCACACAGTGTAAATGCGGTTTTTTTAAATTTATTCAACTCAGTTCATTGATGAGCTTTTTTTCTCGGTAAAAGTTAACTTTTTGACAGTGTTGCTTGGGATGGTCGTAAAAACATTTCCGCCCCTCATCACAGACGGAACAAGACGAAGAGTTGTCTCAAAGAAGAGATGCTGACTTTTTTTGATACAGAAATAACTAATGAAGAGAGCGGTGCCACCCACATGAGTGCCCGAGATAGATTAAAATTGATCGCAGACATTCAATTGGTCAGAGTGATGAAATATTCTAGCTAAGAGGGCTAGTTTTACTGTTCCGTCTTAGAGCTATGTTCTCGATCTATTATTATTCGATACTCGTTTTAATCCTGCGCCTGTTTTCACATACTGTCTTCTTCAGGAATAATCCCGAGCTTGTCATCCAAGACGTCAATGTCAACTACGCAGTAGCCTTTTAGGATCGCTTTTTTCCAATCCGTGCTTGTTGAATTTTTGACGACAGAGCTACCTGAACTGAAGTTTGCGAACTCACTCCTGGTAGATAACTCTGTCAATTGGATACGTTTACTTTGTGTGAATCGTCGGCAATCTTTCAATGGGTGTTAGTCAACAGCTTCTGCATAAGTCTAGATTTTCTTCTAAATGCTTTACGTCAGATCTGCTTGGAGTGACATTTTGTCGATTCTCAATGACTTTGTCACATGGACAAGTAATCGGCACAACCCCGAAGATAATGTACGAGACCTTGAAGCTCTCTGGTTTGATCAACCATCTGGATGTGTCTCAGTGCTTTTATGGTCTTTGAGCCTTTGATCATGTTTACTGACTTCTCAGCTACCTAAAATGATCGACTCTTTGAAGTCAATCTTTTTCAACCGAAATTCACTGCAGCACTTGAGTCAACTCAGAGGGTGTTTAAAATGTGTGATCTTGCAAGTAGTTTTGTGCTGAAATGCTGGGGAACGAGAAGTACCTGTACCATGAATAGGGCCACCCATCACCAGCATGGAACTTAACCCCTGAAGACTGGAATGTCTTACGCAGTCTAAAATCTATTGAGGCAAATATAAAATGTCTACAAATGAATTTGATGCTGTTGTCCATATTGTGAGGTTTAAGGATGTATCCTTTTTAATAGCAGTTCATCTGAACTCTATCCCAAGCAAACATAGCTTCATTGACAATTGTCATTTAATAGTTCCTATACACTTTTCTAGTCTTACCTCAGTGATTGTCTGCTAAAAGATATTACGAGAGTGTCCAGTTGATTTAGTAGGGCTAAAATCGTTGGTTTCCTTCTCCAAACCTGACCTCAGACGTACAAAGCTAACATTGTGACTCAGCTTGATTATTCTGCTCTCGCTTTATTGAAGGGCAGCCCGAATTGGTGTGCGATGTTTGGTAACCCTAGTTAAACTGAAGTGACTGCTTTTCGTGACTGAACCGTCTTTATCGTCTCTTTTATCCAAAATGTCTGCCGATGGGTACCAGTCCATGCCCCTCAAACAACTCGCTTTCAACCTATATTCACTTATTATCCATGAAACGAACAATCTAATTTGTGCGTAACCGCTGTTGTAGCAATTGGAGTTTTTAAAAATTTGCATTGATGACCTCTGAATTGTCTTGGTTTTCAACCTCTTGGTTACCTGTTGTAATAGCCTTTTGAACAGGCTTTTTTAATGCATATGGCTGCTAATAAATCCCCCTTTCTACCTTCATGTTCATCAAATTAACCACTTCCAGCTAACTGTGGAGTTAGTCAAGGCATTTGTTATCAGGGTCTCGAGGACCAAATGCTTTACTGTTCCGATAGAGAATGAAGCTATCCTTTGACCAAGAGTTTTATACTTTATTCCATTGGCTTAACCTCAAACGATCCGTATGCGAAATGATTCGTTGAGACCCATTACTACTCACCTGATTATGAACGTATCACGTATATATGGTACCATCATTGAATATGCAAATCCAAATGTCGCGTATTCCTCCTATTGCGATTTCCGCTACAGGTACCTGTCGGCGTTTCACGCAAGCCGTAAAACGCCGGTGTGCAAGAAGCCCTACAACCCAATCCTGGGGGAGATATTCCGTTGCTGTTACTACCTCGGCCCCGCCTCCCCCGCCTCCTCTTCACAGCCTCTCCTCGAGGAAGACATTCCAGTGGTGTATTCGGATGAGGAGATGGCGCGGTGTGGACCTATTCCCTACGCTTCAGAGGATTGTGTCGTCTTCCTCGCCGAACAGGTATGTCTGTTTCTCACCTCTTTTTAAGGCTCTCCTCTTTTCTATTTTTCACGCAAGAAATCTCCCAATTTTGAAGCTCATGTGCAGCTAGATAGTTTTTTTTGCGGAGAAATTGATTTTAGCGCAATCTTGTTTTGTGCATGTGGTATTAAGGCTTAACCGGGTTTTGCAAATCTCCAAAATGCATCAAAAGAACCCGCTCTAAAGCGTGAGTTAGATATTTTTACAACCACTCTCCCATTATATCCATTTCTACACTTACCTAAGCGTTCAATAAATGTCTAAAAGCAGTCTTGGTATAAAAGGAACCCTGGACAGCCTGCTGAAAGCTGTTTTGGCATAAGCGTACGCTAACATTAGGAAATCACAAGTATTCTTAATGACTGACTAAATCCGCTCTTCCTAGAGAAGGATTCATCTTTTGTGCAATCCCGTCACTGAGTGTCCCTTCATCTTATCGTGCCGTGCCGCACTGCGCTCGAAGTCTTCTGTAGATGCGAGTAGATATCCGTGGGTTGGGGTTCTGTGTCTTCATGCAAAAGAAACTGCGTTGGTCATCACAACTTGCTGCAGGCATGTATTGACTTACACTGTTGCCTGCGCCGGTTTGACTTGCTTACTGGCTGGTAATAATGGGACGAACTTGCCACTTACCACTACTTACAAGTACTACATGCGGTGCCGCCACGGAAGCACTCATTATAGAATTAGCCGATCCAATTCGAATGGAGTGGAATTGAAATGTTTTGACAAGTTGGTTGATCAAATATCTCTGATCTGGTCAGGCCCAAGATAGAACACCGAATAAACGTATTGTCTCCTATCATTCTGTTATCCCCCTTCGACACGTCTGCAACCTGCTGAGTGCAGTTATTTCTGCGTAAAACGATTGAATGGTTTGCATCAGCAGACGTTGGAAACAAATTGTGAGAAATCCGAAGGAATATACTAGATGTTGTCTTCTTTGGAAATAAAGTCTTACTTGCGTCAAATATAACCGTGTGGAAGGCCTTGGAAGATGGGATCAGAAGCCAATGTTGCACAGAGGATTGGGGTGAACCTACGATGTATTTCTCTTATCATACCTGAAAGTTGGCGACGTGTCTTTTCTGTGTTAAAATCAGTTAATGCACTCGAATTGAGCGCCAATGATGACGCTTAGATTTGAATGCTTCCATTCTCTGGCTTTACCCCTTCTCCGCCCTTTGATCCGTCTGTTTTGCCGATATTTAAAGAGGACTATTTTTGTGCGCCAGGAACCGACTGTGGCAAAGCTCAATACTCCAGCTCATCAGGCAGTTTGAAATAAATAAATAAAATCTGCGTTATATATTATGTTCTACGGAAGTAAAAGGCTTTCCATCAGGCTCGGATCTAACCAAATGGAATGCCGCTAGGAAAATTCGAAATAGAGGCTAAGGTCTCAGTAATGCTTAAGGTTCAAACGGATGCAGATTTTGCCATCTAATTTGGTGATTAGTTAGTCGGAAAAATATTTTTTAATTTTTAAATCTTTGAGTTGGGTCTGTTTACCTTATGCTATTCAGGGATACCAGTTGCAGAAGACAGATTCCTCACTTCTCTGGACGTTTTATAGTCGAATTATTTGAAACACAAAACAATTGTGCACTGCGAGTTATCGTTTTTCCCGATGTGCAAATTCCTAAATAAACCCACGAACTGGCTGCCAAATATCTGTTTAAGATGATGTAAAATCCACATTTGAAACTGGTTCGGTGAAAAATTCGACATTGGTTTTTGTTCGTTGGTAAAGCTATCTTACAAACGTTTGATAGCAAATCACTTTGGTGTAAGCGGTTAGGCCGTGTTTTATTGTTTTATCACCGGTAATGGTTGAAGGATATCGGTTTAACTGAAGTAACTTTGCACCCTTGACGTCAGTTTAAGGCTGTCAAACACTTCCTACCATTGGGAAATTTAGTTTAAGTGGCAAGAAATAAGGCGGTCATTTCTCGATAGCGCTGTGAATTAGCTATCTCAAGTGTCCAAGACATTAAAAAGTCTTGAGTTTGGGAAAGGATGCTTTAGTGGAATGTTGAGTGATAAATAGATCGCAAAGTGATACTTTTATACCTCAGTAGATTAGATCTAGCTCTAAATGTGGTTGTTATTTCTTCAGGACCGGCGTTTTTTTACTTAAAAAGGTACTGTGATAGCGATGTGGTTAAGCCCATCACTAGACCAACAATGACGCTGGCACTCCACACACCAAGCCCATTGTCAGGCGGTGAAAATATTAGTTAGGTCTTGCCTTTAAGACGTGGTAACAACAAGCTCTAAAGATGATTGGATGCCTAAGGAAGCTCAACTTTTCACCAAGTTCATGGACCAAGCGATTCCTGAATGTTAGTTCGGTGTAACTTTTGCAAGCGCTGATGAATAGTTCCTTCATTAAATCATTTACTGGATGTAGACCACCTATTGGATCCCCAGGTTACTCATGCAGATGTTATATACTATAGGTGTCTGGAAGTAGTTTTTATTACAGACGCGTGGAAGGGCTAACAGTCTGGAAGCTCAGGTTGCACAATCGGAGCGTCATGTCACTGAGGTGGGGGCGGAATTGCATGCAAGTAGGGGGCTCCGGTCTACATTGCATCCAGGTTGGATAACTATACTTTACTTACGTTTATTTGCCCCTTTCAATATGAAAAATTCTTGTATCTTACAGCTTTGAAGTACCTGCCATTAGTACTTTTCCCGGCAAAGCTTATTCGGCTTTTATAACTTGCCATATTTTGCCATCGGTGATTTGTCCCAGTTTTTGATTCAGCCCCTTTATTGCGCAATGCGCTGCTGTCGTTGCCTTGGCATCAGCTTCCCCCTCCTCCTTCCACCATTTTTTTGTTAAAATCACTTCAGGAACCAATCAGACTGGGGCAGCGTAATACTTTTGTTTCAAATACTTGGACGAGCATTACCAGCGCCAAGTTTTGTGTGGGAAGGATTCGGACTGGTGTGAAGAAATTTTTAATGCCTACTAATATGGTGGATTACGATAGAATGATTGCTAGCTGTGTGCACTTTCTGATTCGTTTGCTTGATACTATTCAGTCCCTTATTTTCAAAACAACCTTTTCATATTTCTTGCTCGATTTTAATAATCCAACGACATTCACATTAGCAGCGAAATAAGTAGTCTTTCAATCTATATTCCATGGTTTAAAAGCCTATTTATACTTCTCCCATAGCTTTGTTAGAACTAGGCATTACTTGTTATTCGCTAACAGTGTGATTTCTTCGAGAACCACTCATCAAAGCCTTTTTTGTTTCGAGTAACACTGGCCCACAAAGCATTGGCCTGGTTTTACTTACTTGTTTAAAGATGTTAAGGCTGAGACTCCATTTTTTAAAAAAAAAACACTGAAATTGGGGCAAGAATATACTTCAAGTCGTCGTGAAGTGTAGAGCTATTCGGCGATTAATCCTGTTTTAAACATTCAACTTTACTCAACTTACGAACGATGATACGTACGGTCCGTTGTGCTTCTCTACCCCAAATCTCAATATTGCTTTCGCAATATTGAGATTTGACGGTTCCTTTAAAGACATTAGCAATGTAATTACAAATTAAGGCGTTGGATTCAAAACAAATCTTCCGTCCTTAGGTCAGTCGTCGGATCAAATGCTAGCCGCCCGTAAACAGTAGTGTTAACCTTTCGTTTAATATCCGATTTATTTTGTAAAAAGCTTTTGGAGCATTCCATTTACTGTTTTGGAAAAATCCCAAAATAGTTGTGCTTGTTTTTGAGGCCTGGAAGCGTGTTTTGCAAGGTTGGATGGGTATATACGGCAAATGCAATGTTCCTTTTATCGAGGCAAGGTGCGTTTCCTTCTTACCACGTACGCTTTCAACGTTTTATATTCGCGGCATGTGTTCTTTGTTAGCTTACGGCAACTGTGGTTGCATTAAATCATGTGTCACAGGTGGGTTCTTTGAGTGTAAAATAACCGAGTAGATAACTATCCTTGCTCTGGTTTTCAAACTATGTAATTTCAAGGAAATAGATTATCTTTTTTGTGAACTGCAGTGGTAGAGCTTCCCTTTGGTATTCCGGTAGAGAATGTGCTAGCTGGAAATCGTTGCGAACGAGTGGACGCAAAAGCGGCAAGTTCTGGGAGTGTGAAGCTTAATAAATTGCTCGTTTCCAAACGTACGAGAAGGGAGAGGGGAGATAGGGGGTCTCGAGAAAGGGAGAGATTTAACGCGTGGATCAGTTGATATTGGGATTGCAAGGCGTTTTTCATCATTGTTTTCCGTTCCGCGAATCAATTTTTTGTTATTGATGAAGTCTGGACCGAAGCTGTTCCCGAGGGAAGAACAAGCGGGGTGACGTAGATATTAAGGGATTTTGTATTGAATAACACTTGCTACCAGTGAATAAAATAGGCACAGGATTGAAGTGTTTTATTATTTTTGAATCATTTAAATGTTTGATGCCGAAGCATTTTCATCCTTTAGGTGGAAAAGGTGCGTCAAAATGGTATAATTGGTGTCCTGGACACCAATTTAGACTAACTTTTCGGAATTGCAGGTGTCAAAAATAGTCACCTCTTCTGCGATCTCAATCATCTACTTCAGGTCAAAATGTCATTCCTCAGGGCTGACTACGACCGAGGTCGTCACTGGCAGACATTGCCTTAACTGTTGAGCGGCTGATCAACCGAGCGTTGCGTTTGAAGTTTTCCGTAGATCTGAGTATATGTACGCGGGTTGGAATTTGATGCATTCATGGAGAAGAAACTGCATTCATCATCACTTGCTCTTCCATGCACACCTTGACTACCATTGCTGTTCGTCATCTGGATTAACAGTATCTGGGATTGACCGCCGTACGACATGTTCGGACAGATTTGTCACGCAGTGCTGCGTGACATGCCGTCAAGACAAGCAGACTTTCGCACTACCCATGTTTTGAGACCTGTCTAGTTTTTGAATTCTCTTCAAGGGGCAGTATTGAACACATTGCTTGATTTACCCTTTAGAACCTCTATTGAATGAAACAGCTTGAGCTATTAGATCTTAATAACGGAGGTTCTCAAATAATGTTTCGTTAATTTTGAGCAGACTTTTCAGTATTCCTCATGGACGTCTACAAGTTGTAAACTGCGAAGGTGTTCGCTAATTTTTTAGACAAAACTAGTCTTATATATTGCGTAACTATCAACCCTTCACATTCATAAACGCATCAAGGAGCTTTCACTCTACCACCCGACGCCCTCCCTGAAGGCATCATTAGGTGTATGGGTCTGGATGGAGCCTTAGTATAGATGTGCAGAGAAGCTGGTGGACTCAACGGAAATAGCATGAAAGGAGTGCCAGATCGCCGAGCTGATGACTGAACACTACTAACATTCTAGGAAAACGAAATCATAGCCAACGCGCAGTTTTCTGCAACTTTATTCACTTTATTAATTGTACACACAGGTTTCTCACCACCCACCCATCTCTGCCTTCTACGCCGAGTACATTCCTAAACGCATTCAGGTATCAGGTCACATTTGGACCAAGTCCAAGTTCCTCGGCTTGAGCATTGGGGTGGAAATGGTCGGCAGTGCCACCATCGTCCTCCTTGATCGACCCGGCGAGGAATACGTCGTTACATTCCCCTCCGCCTACGGAAGGTGAGTCTCTCCCTTCCCCTTCCTACTCTACTTGATACGGACGCTCCGTGGTTCTCGAGACTGGTGATCCACTATCTAGGCCTAGAAGTCGTGAATTGCTATAGCTTTTGCTGTTTGAGCGGCGTCTCTAAGTAAATGAACAAATAGGATATTTCATACCGAATTGTCATTTATTACTGCATCTTGAAGGAATCTTCGTGTTACTCCAGCACACTGTAGTGTATGGAGCATCAAATTTGTCCTTGGAGGTCTCATAGAGCAAACAGATTTTGTATTCGTCCTAATAAGGACATGAAATGTGCATAGCTCCATGTTAGCATGAAGGCAGTTTTGCGGGAGGCTGGCACGTACCACCACAATGAATATCATTCTACTGCATCGGCCATTCAGAAACCTGGATTGCTTTCGTTAGAGTTGACGCAGCTCCGTCTTTGTGATTGAGATGAAAACCACCCACCAGAATTGATCTTCTCAACTTGTTGTGTCGAATCACCACACTTCCGTCCATTGGCCGCAACCTCACGACTCTGCACGCCAAGGTCTTGGCTCCACGACTCAGCCCCTTCCCAAAGTAGGCATGATTTATGATCTCCATATCAGGAAAAAAAACAAGTTAAATTATCAAAAGTGGATGGTGTATAGATCACGATATAAAAGTATCATTTTTAAAGCACTGGCGTGCATCGCGAAACTGACGCAGCTGCTTGTCACCTTCATAGGGATGGAATCGCAGGAGATTCGAGGCTTGTGTAGTGGCATACACACTTAAAATAAGTATGTATCACTCTGTGACAGTAGTACATCACGAGAGCGGGCTCTGATGGATCTAGATAGATAGTGTGCGTATGAAATAGTGACGAGAGTGGGCTCTCACAACACATTTTTTTTATCTTGCCTTTCGGAGAAAGCTGAGAAAAATTCACTGAAGTAAATCGTGGGCAGCGTTTTGTCGCTATCACCGATATTTGTGGTCTTTGGATAGGAACATCCTGGGCGTACCGTGGGTGGAGCTGGGAGGTCAGTGCTCGGTAACCTGTTCGAAGACTGGCTACTCTGCGGAGGTGAACTTCCTCACAAAGCCCTTCTACGGGGGCAAGAAGGATCAAATCCGGGCCAAAGTCTTTGGGCCCGACTCCGAAAAGCCGTTCCTCACCGTTGAGGGCGAATGGAATGGTCAAATGATCGGCCGCTGGACAGACAATGGGGTTCGTCTCCCCTTCTCCCTCCCCCAAACTTAATTAATGATATGGTGGTCAATTTTTTTTGGAGATCCTCGTGATGATCGTGTTAAGGCAGTTTCTTTACTTAGACACGCTTCCCTTTTTGAGATTTTTTTGCCTTCAGACTTAATATACTTGGGAATGCTGGACTGATCCGCTTAGAGCAACTGTTTTTACTTGGGTCTTAGAAACCTCTCTTTTTGGAATTTTTGCACTCGGATCCCACTTAATTGTGGATACTACTTCGCCAAATGTTGTTGCTTTCACGCTTAACTTTGATTATGTCAAATAACTAATGTGTGCGTATTTGTGCACCCTTCCGACTCATTTGTCAGAAGCGCTTCCTACTTCCTAGGGTAATTGAGGTTTTATCTTGAGAATTGGAAGTAGGCTTTACTAGAAACCGATTCTGTCCGCGAGATGGTGGTAGAAAGGATACTAATTTTTTTCTGACCTGAAGAAGCCCTTCATTTTGGAATGCGGTGTAGTTAAATCTTCCTCTAATCAGCGCTAGTTTGTGAAATATTAGGGCTATTTAAAACCGCTTTGAGTTCTGCGTTATTGCCAAATCACCGTCTCTTACCTTTCATGCATTTTCTCAGTCCAACTGGTAAAGCAGTAATTCTTCAGTTCAAGCACAGGACACATCGAGGCACCATCTTCTTGCTGCTCCAAAGGGGATTATTGTGACATGCGAGTTGGTGATAAATTTTCTTTCAAAAGGCGATTGGCAATGAAGGCATTTTTCACGCACTTGAGTGTCGTCAGCTCCACTTTTATGGAATTTGTATCGTGGAAAAAATTTGTGCAAAAGTTTCCAGTGTCGTTAACCCCTTGAGCGCTCTTTATGGATAATGCATTTTTTCTTGCTGCTAATCGTTAAAGCGAGGCTATTTGAAATTGCCGCACTCGCTGTCGGAGTCTTAGGGGCAAATCGACCACTACACTTCACAAAAGAAATCCTCCATTGCATTGGAGTTCGGCTACTTGAAGATCGTGCACTAAGAGCATCCAGCATGTTTGTTTGCTTGTTTCAAATTTGGTCGAGCTGTTTCAATCAGCTGCGGGTGACATGTACCACCCATTTGGGAGGTCGGACCCTGGTAGGGTGAACAGGGCGTCGCTGGTTGTCAACCTATTATAAGGATGGTATATTTTTACTAATTTAAACGAGATTTTTCCAATGTAATGACACCTTCCCGTCTTCCGCCCAAAAGCGCGCAACGGTTGGACAGCCAAATTCCCACCAAGAAATGTATTTGCAGCAAATTTTTTTTTGCATTTGGCCAGGACCATCATACTTTTCAGACGTGTTTCTCCGAATTGAAGCGCTTCTTGCAACACGGAATATGCTGGATAGGCTTGCAAATTGTGTTTGGTTTTGGGGGTTTTCTTTATGGCCCATTGGTGATGGGATGGGTCGTTATGCATGCCAATTCATCGAACGTAATTACCACGAATTGAAGTGGGTGCAACAATGAATGTAAGAGTGACTCAGCGATCTTTTTAGCTCTGGACTCGAAAATTCACCGAAAGGGGAGCAGTTCCCTTGATAAGTATCAACGAAATTCCTTCACTTTTCATTATTTTTTGTCTCCGCTCGCCACACTTCTCGAAACACCCTAGCAGTACGATAGCCGACCTATGAATCGACTTAATTGTGCAATTTAGCTCATTCTAACAGTTCTTCCAGTTTAATTTGTTCATCTACGCCCTCCCGCTTTCCTTTTGTTCCGAAGCGTATATACAGTGGATTATGAATATTAAAGTTTTCTGGCTCAATGCCTAGCTCCTCCCAACCCGTCTTCTCGTCGCCAACGCTACTTATCTGAATGCATATCTAATGAGTCGCTATTATGCCAACTGAATTTGAGTGTTTGCTTAATCGAAAAAAAGGACACACGAGATTTGACACACTGTGTTTTGGTGCTCAGGTTATCTCTGAAGGCAGCATAAGACATATGAGTGCGAGAGTGATCTCATTACAAGCAATTCAGAAGAGTAAGAAGACCTGTGTCATGGCTCTTGGCTCCTTACTCACTATTTAAATTAAACGGCTTGTCGTTAACACATCTCAAGCATTTTAGGTACCTTTGAAGATAATAAGGCCCACTTGTAGTGTAGACGTACCGAATGTCTGACAGCCTCTCAGCATAGGTGGTATGAGCAGAGCAGGATCACATGAGAGTACAACTGCCCGTGTAACGCTAGGTAATTCCAATAAACACCCCTCTTACACTGTGGTTTATTGCTTTATTTTCATCTGCGACCTTTCAGAGAGAGGAGCTCTTCGTGGACACCAAGGCGCTGCCGATCATGAAGAAGCAGGTTCGTCCACGCAGTCAACAACTCTGCAACGAATCAAGAAAGTACGCACACTTAACCTGTCCTCAAAATAATAGTGTATTAGCAGCCATACCTACAACAGTTTTTCACTTGTCACAGTAACTTCACTAGAAATGCTGTGAAGGATTCACGAATATTGAGATTGGCCACCTGACGTCATTTAGATTCAACCACAACGGTTTCCCCCACTCACTTATGTGATATTTCCAGTACATAGAAGTTAAGTCAGGGCTTTTGAGTCTGGACTTGAAGCAGAAACTGCGTTTGCTTTGCCATTTGATTGCCTTTCAAATCTATGTGTGCACCTATCCAAGCATTTGACTAGCATCTACAGGGCAGACTTGGCTTGGGAAGATTTGTCAGTGCAGATGAACCGGCCGTGGCCCACTGAAAGATGTTTTGGCATAGGCGTACGCCAACATTAGGGAATCGCAAGTATCCGTAATGATTGGACTAAATCCACTCTCCCTCGAGAGGTATTCGTCTTTTGTGCAATTCCGTCATCATGCGTCGATGAGGGGTGGAAGGTTAGGTGTTTCTCCCGCTGACTGTTCATTTACAGGAGTGACTGTCGACTTGGAACCACTACACCCGAGATCGTCATTGGGGGACATACGGCTGGTCGTCTTTGAACCCTTGAAACGTTTTGCTGTTTGAGGAGCTGAGTGTCCCCTCATCTTATCGTGTCGTGCCGTGCTGTGCTCACTGTCTTCTGTAGATCCGAGTAGATATACGTGGTATTTTAGTTGACCCCCTGTTAGATGCACATGTGCCCACTGGTACTTGAAACGATCCGCAGCATATGTGATAGCTTTCATCAGTAGGCCCCAATTGTCAGTCACTACTGTATGTAGTAACACCACAACCGTATGTTTTATGTGTCAGCCTAAAAGCTCAAATTTGACTCAAGTACCCACCATAGATTTTGACCAACCAGTTGACAGGTTTCATTGCTGTATGACGTTGGATATACTGAACTAGAGTGGGTTTTTCTTTTCTGTAGATTATGGGAATCTGTGACACAGAACCTGAAGCAGGGCAATATTGACGCCGCGACAGACGCCAAGTCACTGCTGGAGCAGCGCCAGCGTCGTGAGGCCGCAGCTCGTCTGGAGGCACGCCAACGGTGGATACCCTTTTATTTCACCGAGGAAAAGCGCTGCCTCCCGACAGCCTCCACCAGTGGTGCTGGCGACACCTACTATCGTTTCAAGTGGCCCCTAACTTGCCGGAGTTCGGCTTCAACCCATAAATCTGGCGCCTAAGTGCGAATGTGATGCTGTGCCGAGGAAGACGGCTCCGCTCTCTTCTCCCGCCATCGTCTCAAGATCTATAAATATGTGTATGTATGTATACTTGGTTAGCCGAGGCATAGACTCCTAGACTTACTTTGACCACCCCTCTTCCTCCATGCGTGTGTGTGTGTGTGTGTTTGTGTGGACACCTTCCCTCCTCTCTTCTTTTTGTATCCTCTTTCTCTTCTCACCCTCCAACTGTCTCCCCGTGCGCGTGTACTTCTGTGAGAGCATGTACACACAACAGAATGCGGGTATGCACATGTACATTTAGCAAGGCGATGGTGCGTTTTTTTGCAAAAGGGATGGGGTGTCTATGCATTAAAGGATTTTCCTTGTATATCACTTTGAGAGGCTCGATCTGACAGCCGTCGATGGGAGGATCTGCTGAGAAGCTTCTAGGTTAGTCTACAAAAACTCCGGAACTCAAATAACCCGCGGAGAACATGACAATGTCCTATTCTAGATATTTGATTTCAAAGGTAAGGTTAATAGAATCCTGTTGAGGGCGTGGTTCTCCACTAACAGGGTTACTGTGTTCTTGGTTATGCGTTGGACTATTGCCTAAATGAGTGGCAAAGTAGCACCGTCTAGGCAAAAGTAGGTATAACAGCTGCGGTTCTGGAGGAACTGCGGGTGTTCTGTCTGCTGTTACGTTGATAACCAAAAAAGTGCCAAATCGCTTGAAAAATTGGCGCTCAAACACGTTAATAAGTCAGTCTAGGATCCTGGTAACATGCCAGTTGCAATTTCCCATGGGCTGCACGCGAATAATAACGAGTCGAAGTGGTCTGTGGGAATAGTTTCCTCTCTCAATGTTTACCACTGGGATGGCGTGGGTGGCGAAGTCTGCTGAAGGGATCTTTTAGAGATTTTTTCTGTGGAAGCTACTCTCCCGGTGGTCTTGTGGAAGCTTGTGGACGCCTTCTAACCATCGCGTCCCTGGAGGGTAGAGATGTGGTATTCAGTAGTAGTGCGATGAATCCCTTGCCGATATCCCTGCGCAAATACCAAACGGGATCAATGGAAAACGCTCCAATGACGCCTCTAAGTACACTAAGTAAAATCCGAATTAGGCGTGCTCCACTGAATTGGATCTACTCAATCGGTAGGCGGTATTTGCATGGTCAAGGATCAAAAATCGACCAGTACCGACGGAAGGAGTCGAGAGAATGAAAAGCGCCTTTCAAACCATAGAACTCTTCGAGTTCCCTAAAAATTTCCATCCCAAAGCAGTTTCAGAATCAATCACAACTAGTAAAGAACATTTCAAAAGATGAGACATACCCCTCGAGCCGTGAAACTTCCCACGCCTGAATGCCTCCAGTGCGGAAGCGGTTCGTTGTACAGGAGCCAGTCTGCTAGCGGCACTCAGCCTTTTCGGTCAAAACCTATAGGGGAAGTGATAAACCCAGAATCTAAGACTAAAAATGAAGAAATTTGTATTTTTTATATCCCGAACGGTGTGGATGTATAGAAACAGTGAAAAAAGCATGTGATAGGCTACGTGCGCATGTGGGTGGCAGTATGTGCGCCAAAGAAGCCAACAACGTCGATGTCCACTGGTGGAGGAGGAGGGTCAGGACGCAGTCTAGCTAGGTCCAGCTGCTTGGGGGAAGTAGGCAGATAGCAAGGAGGAAAGTTGGTGTTGATCGGATTGAGGCGGTCGACTCAAACTACTTTCGCATTCGCTTGTCACCGAGGTGCCATTCACCAGAGCTAAACAAAAAACACCTTAGCATCACGGATTGATAACATATAAGTCATTCTTACACCTACTTTTTGGATAATTCATCAAAATAGTAATCGTTTCCCGGTGAGGTAGCAGGTAAACAGAATTAGATCAAATATGGAGGAATGCATTTGCAGGTAAAGGGCAAATTCAGATAATTCTGTCCCTATTTTGCTTTAGGGCGTAAACACAAAGCCTTCAGGAGGGAGGGACACCGAGATATCCTGGCAGAGAAACACGTTGGTAATTAATAGGATTGCGAAACAACTAGTACTCTATGAAGGAAGTGAAGTAGTCAATTAGACACTGTAACATTTAGCCATGTCAGAAGACAAATGGCACAGAATTTCATTTGCAAATGAAATAAAGTAGCTTCACGCGATTGCTTTAGAACTTGGCTTTGGTAAAAAAACGACAACAACGGCTCGCCAGTCAAAGGCCTAATCATTAAAGCAGGGAAAAGGCCACTAATCCGCCTTGGAATTGAAGTGGAATAGGCCTGATGTCTTAAAATATTCTTCGCAGTTTCCAAACGCAATACGGTCGCACTTAACAGATGTGCGCCTCACGTAGAAGGACAAAGTTTACAGCGGCTGTAGACAGACCCGAAGACGAAATGAAAGCACTAGCGATCTGTGCACGAATTTTGCGAAGGATTTACAATAAGGGACACTTCCGTAGACTCTTTGCGATGCGAGAGAACGACGACCTACTCCATCACTGAAGTAGTGTTCGTCCGGTTTTAGTCTAGGCAAGAGCCAAGTAACACGGCCGAGGAATCAATGCCAGCTAATAATGCACACTGCTCAATCAAAAGTAGCTAAAAGTTTTAAAGCAGACTTGAAGAAACGAACGATGAAAAAACATTCTGTCAGAACAGAAGAGGGGTGTGCCACGAAATTTCGATAGAATTAAACCAGTCTTCCAGTCTGCAAAGTCTTGAAACTCAGCAGAAATTAAATCAACTGCCGTCCAAAAACATTTAATGAAATAATTCGGATTACAATGAGGCTGCCTTTCATCACGTATCCACACAAAAAGAAGTTCATTTTCTCGAAAACGTAAAACACTGGTTGCCATCTCGAAAACAAAGTGAGAGTGGTCTTGTTGCGCAAAAGTTCATTAATGCCCACAAAAGGCAAATCCAGTCTAGCTTCTTCAAACTCATTCACCCATTTAAGCAGTAAAAATTACAGCTAAGTTTGCTTACATCAATGCATCTAGCTCACGTTGTCCCAATTCCAACCACCAAAAATAAACATTTCAGAGCATTTTTCACAACACCAACAACCAATCAGATGAAGGGATAATAATTCAAAATCCACGTAGGAGAAAATTTAGCTGACCAAAGCCTTTTGCGCTCAAGCCCACAATTGCAGAAGATGGGCAGGACGAATTTCATTTCACGAGAGAAGTGGCTGAATAAGTGAGAATTAACTCCGATAAAATGAATGAGGGGCCTTGTAGCTAGAGGTCGAATTATCAAATCAGACAAACCGTTCATGATAGGAACTGCTTTTCGGAAAAAGCTTACTTCAAAAACGTGAACCAAAAGGTCAACTGCTAAATCCACATGGGTTTGATAGCCACACACTTCACTAAATTTAACCAAGGAGCGCACATGCATTGAACACTATAGACAGAAATTAGAAACCAATCCGAGACACCTCCACATAGGATGATGCCAAGTCTTACTTTTCACATTACAAGAACTGACAGTTTGCCTTCGAATTAACCTCGTTGACAACAGCCAAACTTTCAAGTGAGCATGAAGATGCAAAAAAATGAAGTTACTTGAAAAGTGTCTAAAGCACTATTAGTACCTCAGGAAGAATCACTAGGGGCAAGAAGTTTTAACAGATACTTTAAAAGCATAAATTTCTATTTAGCCAATGTATCTAACTCAAATCGCTACAAACGCAAGTAGCAGAAACTAGAAAGGCATGAAAGTGTATCGGGCCCAGGGCGGTTAACACTTTAAAACATGTCCAATCGGGTAATAAATCAAGTGCTGAAGGTTTGTTCCCCTTTCTCCGCTGAATTATGACCATGAGAGTACAATATGAGTTTGGGTTTTGGGTGAAAAACGGATTGAGCAGTTCCCAAGAGACACGTCCACACACCTGAACGAAGCAAAAAATGCAGTTCCTATGTTGCACCCTCTTTCAAAGATTAAATTAGCAGCAGTCGGAACTGAGCAGCACATCCTCGAAATAACCGGGGATTGAGGAACGAAATAGCATCACTAAATGGAGCGAGTTTCCGACTGGACAAACACGACACTTGTTTCGCAGGCGAAAAATTGGGGAGCAAAAGAGGGAGGGTGAAAATTGGACAGTGTAAGGCAGAGGGAGACAACGTACGCTTGGCGTCGGGGTGGAGAGGTTGCTGCTGCCGTGTCAACAGCAGAGTTTGCGGTGGACGAACAGATAGACCCGCCATCTCCGAGGTGATGCCATTCAACGTACTCGGGACCTGGTTCCAAGGGGAAAGGAGAAGAGGTCAAACAATCGATACTCACTCTGGACCACTTCAAGAGGCACTAAGCAAGCATCACAGGTAGTGAAATTGTGGGTCAGGGATTTGGTTTTGGATAACGGCTTTGAACTGCTACCTAGAAAGGGCCATTTTTAGCTTCAGTGTAGTTGAAATACGATAACAACTCCGAAAGCAGTAATTGAGATTAGAATAGTGGATCAGACCAAATCCCAGTCAAGTACATGCTTAATTTAAGCATTAATATTTGAGCAATGTTAAAAAAGTTATTTAATAATAGATAATGAAACTTTGGGTAGAAAACTGATTTTGACGGGTGAATTGAGACATCAGCTCAACATTAAAAGCACTCTCCGAGTAAAAAGAGGTGACGCGAAGGATTATCTTTACAGTTCTAGTAATGCTTAAGTACGAGAGGCACTCTGGCCAAACCGGGACTTTGGAGCTTACCAAAGCAAAAAGCTAACTACAACGGATGT